TGGTTTGGAACTCGAAAAGGACATCTTATAGTTTTTATACCAAAAATCTGCAGGAAGTCACTATTCCACGCGAACGGAGTCGCGGGCAAAAGCTAGTACTATGTACTATACATATATCTGCTCTGGTGTTACCGGTGCCTATGGACGGCGCTGATTATTGACCATAATCGTAATCTGTCTGTTCGTTTGCAGCCATATCATAAAAAAACTACTATATTTAACACGTTTAGTTTTTAATGAAATTGTATCATTTGAACAAAATTGCATCGTATTGTAGCAACTTAATTTCAAACTTAATGTTCATCTTAAGTACAAACTTCATTTTATTAGTTATCATTTGCATATTCTTAGATGTTCCAAAATTAATATTGTTTTAATAGCAACTGTTGAGACAGTGTGAATAGTTAATTTTATTATCGCAATTATGTAGTAGTTTTATTGTTATATTTTAACATGTTAAAAAGAGAAAAAATGATATTGCGAAAAGTATTAATTTATGACAAGTTTTTTTTTATTATAACGTTACCCCACACTTAGATTTTCTCACACGACACGACACATATAATTTTTCAAAATAATTTATTTAAGACCTACGATACTACTTAATTGCTTTTATTTATATGTTTTGACGTGACTTACGACGTTACTTTCGCATTTTAAATAAATGATTTATTTAAAAGTATAAACCCTATTACTTTACCATAAGACTATTTTTCAATCGACGTCACAGTTATCAAGATTGTAAATGGCGGGATGACATGAATTATATACAAAAGCTGTCCAATAGCCATATTTATCGCTCAAATAAAAATTGCCTTCGATTTTAATAGTTTTTAAATGTTTATATTTTATATATTATATGTTACGCATTTCGTTGTAATCAGAAAAAAAAGAGTAAGTGTAAACCTAATTAATAAATTATAACTAGCTAACTTAGAGAACTCCGTACCGCTTTAAATATAACTAATCTTCTGAACTGAATCTTTTAAACCGTCCCTGAACTTTAACGAATAATTGAAGACCAAAATTATCCAAATCGGGACAGCCGTTTTAGAGCTTTAGCGAGACTTACGAACAGTAATTGATTTTTATACATTATATAAGAAGATTAAATGTAGTAATTAACGATGATTAAATTATGTTAGTAAGGAGATCAAGCATTTGGGGTTGTAAATACTAATTATAATCAATCATAATCTATTTTTTTTTGTATTGTATTGTAATATTTTTGTAATGTATTTCTCAAATTTTGTATTGTTTTTATCCAAGACTTCCTCTTGATAGTTATATATTTCAAGTTAGTCGATTACAACACAATGTTTTGCACATAACAAAAAGCATTGCTGATCAGCCAGAGCAAATTTGGCAAATTATATTATAAAGAAATTAAAATGATACTTCACCTATGGATAACACGTTAATGAAGTATTTTAGTTAACAATAGTGCATGCGTCACTTCGAGTTGCTCGGCCGTCGAGTGTCGACAGTGACCTATTTCTTCCACTTGAAAGACAAGCGTAGGGGACACATAATGAATCCCTTACATTCATAGATTGGAATGTATTTAATTAATTATGGATAATTAATCAGATGAAGGCAAAAAAACGAGGATTTTACTTAAAAAATTTGTAGTATAAATGTAGTTTGTTGGTTGTGTTAAAATCATGAGTTAAAAATAGCTGGGTTTCTGGCCTATAGCCTATTTGATTTGCATTAAAAATAACGTAAAAACATTTTAAGTGTACAATAATTTTCTTTTATGAAACTAAGTTTTCCAATACACTTAGTAGTTTGAAAAGTTATGCTATGTCACATACTCATGTGAGTCGATGGAGTGCATTTTTTCACTCATATTTTTCGCTAAAAGGCCTTTGACGGAAACAAGGAATAAAACGCTTTCAATTTTTTTTTATTGAAGTTTTTGATAGCCCGAAGTGGCTTTTACCGGTATGTCAATAAAGTGTTTAATCGTGTACATATTAAAATGCAAAAACAATATTTTTTAAGTGGTTGTTTTCATTTTTGTGGATAATCAAGGATTAAATTGTTCGTGTCTAAGGTGTGATTAAGCTTTCGATTGAAGAACGAATTTCTGTCTGTTCGTTTCATAAATCGTTAAAATCAACAATTGGTTTGGTGTGAAGTAACAATGAAATGTCCCTTGACATGATTAAAATTATAAACATGGAAGAGAGAGATAAAGATATATTTTTAATAAATATATTTTTAGTAAGTAATAGGTCATGCACAAAATCTGACTCCAACTTACAAAGAAAAGTGTTTCGATAAACTTAATTAACAGAAAGATATACGGCCTCTTTTACTCAAGAAAGGTATACTAGCTCTCTTCTTACATTGTTTAGTTTTATGATAACCTTAGAATACTTCCATATAGGTTAATTAGAAAGGTGTTTGTTTACCGGTCTCGTTATGCGACCCTTATGTAAATGTGGAAAAGAAAATATCATTCGGTTGGTACCTATATGATAATGGTTGACGTAAACATTTTCTTTCTGTTATCAACAACAATTTTAAAGTTAAAGCTGACTATAACTGCTAACTTTCTTATTGTTAAACATAATATACCCCATTATTACAAAACAAGATTTATCTTTAGACCAGGTTTAAACCATTGAGTCGGGTTTTGAATTTTGAATCTTATTGTCTTCAATTCGAAATACAAAAACTGGCTCAATGGTTTAGTCCTAGACTAAAGTAAAACCTTGTTTTGTAATAAGGCCGATAATGTTTATTTGTCGTTTTTTGATAAAAAAAATCATTTTTATTTGACATGTATCTGGAACCATAAATGCAGATTATCACAATCAGTATCTAGTATAAAACAAGGTTGCTTTCCACTGCCTGACCCTATAAATACTTAGGTCAATAAAACTACGTGGCAGATTCGATACGGTTTTTTAAAAGATATAATGATTCAAAGTTTTTTGTGTATAGATATTTTTTTTTAATATTCGAACTAATTCGCGGGCAGGAATCAGGAATTAAAATAAACCGCATCAAAATCCATTCAATAAAATCCAATCCATAAAAATTTAAAGATTTAAGCATACATCGGGAAAGAGAAAACGATTTTGTTTTATACTATGTAGTCTTCATAAAAGTAGACTTATCAACTTGGGACCTCTCACCAGTTTTAGGGTAGTGTAGTTAGGTTGCATACTGTAGAGTTTTTATAAATATCATTGAGTGAAAAATGTTCCTGATGAAATATCGAATATGTTGTAAAACCTTCATGGTTGAGAAAAATACTCCTAAGTTTTCTTTTTGAGTAAAGGACAAAACAGATATCAATAAAATAATATCAATAAAAGTACACAAAAATTATGCTTTAGGATTTCAGACCTCTTTGAAAGCACTGAATATTCGTCACAAAACCTTTATATATCCTTAAAAACAATATTTGTTATAAGAGACATAGAATTCGAAACACTTTTTTCACTTTTGATCTTTTCAAACTTTCGTTCGCTCTTTTCTTTAAGGATTTTCATTTTCTGGTAAAATAAGTTTCTATAATACATATATTTTTTTCAGTTCAAAATCAGTTTCTCTTTTATATTTTTGTCGATAAATGAGATTCTTTCGGTTTCGATCCGTGTTGAATGTTGTTTTACTAATCAATTCTTCGTTGCCCGTCGTATTGTTTTGTTATGAACAATATCTTGGGGAATATTAAAATAATTTATTGAAGCAAAAGAAAATTTTGGTTGGCAAAACGTTTAGGTTTCTTGGTTTTGTTCTGGTAAATGCGTAGCCAATAGAAAGAATATGAAATATTACCGTTTTTATTGGTCATTATATGTTAAAAAGATGGCCGACATCCATCTTATTGTAATGAAAGTTATAACAGAATTGAAATGTAATAAATGTACCAAATAAAAATATTCCAAAGTAATATAAAATTTAAATGATTATTACTTGTTTTATGAAAACATAAGCCTACATATATACATTTATATAACTAAACATTAATAAATTTTCGTGAAATATAATCACCTATAGGCATCTATGAGTCTGTGTGTGAATATTTTATCACCATATATGTATAAATATATATATAAGACCTTAGTTTTAAAGGCTTAAAAGAAGTTGAAGCGTAACTTTTCTAATATTTCCCCGACAATTGCCTTTGATAACGTTTAGAAAAGTTTTTTATAGTTTTTCCACTGAGTGGTACGAGGTTTATTAGTTCACAAGTTCAAGTTATGCCATAAAAACTCAAGTTGCAAGTCATTAATAAAATAGTAATTTGGTAAAGTTTAAAATTCTACGAGTAACTCTTAAACGGAGAACGTTGTCGATTATCGTTAAACGTCAGTTTAATTAAGAGTTATAAGTTTTAAGTTAGAAGGCGTTAAGGGATTTTGGTATAAACATTTTTTAGTTTTTATTCTTAATATTGCAAATTAAAGTTATTATAGTTTCGTAAAATTTTACTTAAGGGTACTTAAGTGTGCGTTTTATTTTTGTTTTGTATGCAAACGTTAACTTTAATTATAATTGGAATTATTGAATTATTTGTAAAATACTGTTTGTTTAATTTAAATAAATAAATGCATTAAAATTGTGTCAGTATAAATTTACCGACAAAGTTTGAAGCTATAACTTTGAAATAATATTATTAAAATTTTGATGTGGGTTCTCAAAAGTTTTACAAGTAAGCCGCTTCACTTTCTGCGCAGTTGAACAGCTTTATTTCATAAAAGTTTCAAGCTGAATATTTTGATAATTTCTTTGAACTTTTCCTTATACTTGGCTTAAAGTTTAAATTTCGTTTTAAAATTTTATTAATGCTCGTACTTAAAAAAAATATAATTTAAAAAATCATTACAACAACTTATTTCTTATTTTTATTATTTACGAATTTAATTTGTTTCATATTTTATTTAAGTTTTAAGTTACTTTTATTTATTTTTTCCGGTTTAGTTATTGTGGAAAAATATTTTTGTGGTTTAGAATTATTTTTTGTTTTTCCCACTTACCTGAATCGTACGAAGTGTTGTTCGGGCAACGTTGGCAACAAGCTGGCACTGGCGACGGCAACAAGTGGTGCTGTGCAGTCGGCCGCCCTGCCGCCGGCTTATATAGCGGGAAGGCGGCTGCCGCCCTACCCGCCCACCGCCTTAATCATACCCGGAATGCTACTAACATAGTTTGCATTTCAATTTTAGGCAACAAAATTGTATGATAACATTAAATTTAATACTTATTTTTATATGTTTAATGTTTCTTTTTGCGTTTCTTTTCAGTAAGGATGGATGGATATGAGTGAAATTTTAAAATAAATGTTTCTTTCCTGCGTGCGTATTTCGTGTTCATGAATGTATGTATTTAATTTTAATTATGAAAAATAAACTATTAGCAAAATACAGTTATTGTACAAAATAGCAAAAAAGGAAAAATACAGTGACAAAATTCGTTAAATAATAGTTATTTGTTTTCTATTTCCTCTCTAAATTAGCATACATTAATATGTTTTTATTTATATTTGTTAATAAATATTGGTGTTTTATGAATATTCCTTACCGATAGAAATATTTTTTAAAAAGTAGACTTGAGTATAAGTACTTACATTAGCACCATTTTTGGAAGTCACGACGTCAGATTCGGTTTCTGGGTGACATGAAATAATATGGGATATTTTTTGTTTTTTTTTTGGTTCAATATATGCATGGTTTCTAAGAATGTGTCACGTATGGGCATTGAGAACTATCTTTCCGTATACAACCTAGTTGGTGAAAATTAATGTTACATCCGTGTTTACATCTGCTTTCTATACCTATTACTTCATATAAAAAAAATTTTAGTAAGTAATACTAAATTAACAATCACAATCTTACGTCCAATGTAAAACATTTGTTAATGTTTGAGCAATATTTTTGATCTTTGTCGTCCTTTTTGCGTTTTATATAATTTGTATTTGACCATGAACTCTAGATCTTATGCTTAACAGTACCCCTTCTAAAGTACCAACGCCATACGTTTTGTGTAAGCCGACCCAGTGAAGATATAGGGTTATGGTTTAACCCTAAAACTTGCGGTTTTCCTACTTGTGGATGTACTTTCTATTTCCTTGAGAAGGGTAACCCTTGTACTTGTTACGTTTAGATACGAAAGTTAGGTACCTACTTGTAGTTTTAATTCAAATAATTTTCATTATGCTATAGGTTGTGGAGGGGGGAATTATCAAACTACTTCTTCCATACTGATTGACTCTTAGTGACTAAAAACGACCCCGTTCAAATGCTTAGGGCTGGACCCACGCTACATTATTGCGCTTGTGGGATGTCAGCCCTACTTGACCTCATCTATAGTGGTGTCGTGGCACTTTCACAGTTGGCGCGGTAGCTGGGCAACGTGTCGCGAGTTCGAGTCCCGCACGGAACAACTCTTTGTGTGGTCCACCGATTGATGTTCCGAGTCTGGGTGTAATGTTTAAATTGTATGTTTATAAACGCATCCACGACACAGGCGAAAATGCAAACAAAGGTTTTTTTTTAAAAAAAAGTAAACAAATCTTTGATACACACGCAGAACCTGATGCTTCATACGTTTGTGTTTGGTTTTGGTCAGGCAACGACCTATTCTTGCTCGCCGCTTGCTCAGCCTGCTTCATTGCTAGCATGACTGTCTCGCAAAAGGTAGAGATGGCTTTCCAAGCCCTATTGCTTCGTACCATGTGTATGACTAAGATTATCCGGAATACGGATCCTTTGATAGTAAGCAATCAGCGCCGTTCAAGGAGCAAAGAGAAAACATCATAGGAATCGCACTGATATTTCAGTCTTTGTGCGGCCAGGGGATTTGGCATCCAATAGTTGCGACTTTAATCATCTTTTATTATATTATGCTACACTTTATATTTACTCTATTTTTAAATCTGTTCAATGGAATATGACTATTGTACCTATTACTGTGGACTTTTCACTGTAATTTTTTTTTCATATTTTCAGCAGTCATTTTAAGCAAATTAAAAGGCATTTAAAGTAAAAAATACATAAGATAAGAAAGTTTCTACTGTTTTTAATACTTTTTCCATGTTTTGTCTTTATAAAAACGTTTATGCTTCACCCGATTTTGGTATAAATTGTACCTAAGTCAAAAATTATTGAAACAACTGAAATGATTATAATAAATTTTGGTGCTCATACGTCATCATAGTCAAATAACTTACTTAAGAAGAGAAGTCATTGAACTCAAAACTGTTTCTTTATGTCCACGAAATTCTTTTTCGAAAATATTTTTAATTAAGTTCTTCAGAATATTGGTAGATACTCGTACGACTACCAGGTTTTACTATTTCGTATGAAAACGTAAACTCAAAGGGTATTTGATAAAATTTATCATAAATATCTGTTTTTGATCCTTATTCTTCTGACATATAAGTCTAGTCCTAAAAATATCTCAAAACGAAATTGCCAACACAAAAAGCATTTTGTTATTGAAATCGTGTAATCTTTCAATAGCAGTTCTATGTGTCACGTTCAGCTTGCCTTTTAATAGTACATTATGTACGAAAAATAAGACATTGTGACCTAAATACCGAAAGTTAACTTCTGTATAACATACTTGTTAATGTTGTTGTTTTACTTCTTTTTGCTATAGATATTTTAGTCTCTCATCTTTATTTCTGCAACACTTAAGTGTGGGAGAGCCATGCTTCGGCACGAATGGGTCGACTCAACCGGAGTGATACCTAGTGATAGTGACTTCCTGCCGATTTTTAGTTCAAAATTTATCCTAAGTTCTTTCTCGTGTTCAAAACTATAACTGTACCAAATTTTACACAAAAAGGTTCAGTAGTTTAGGTGTGAAGAAAAGACAGACAGATAGAGTTACTTCTTGCATTTATAATATTAGTTTGGATAGATTATTATGAATAGAAGATTTGAGAACTGGGGGACGAGATTGAGTATGCGATTAAATTATCATTTTACATATTTGCATATTATTATATGTTATTTTCAAAATTTACACTTAAATTCGAGTAAAATTTTCTCTTCTTGCACCTGCCACTAGATTATCTGCATCACCCAAAGGTAGACTGGTAGAAAATGCTTATTGCATTAAGTCCGCCTTTACACAGTGTTTTGTGCATGAAGATTTAAATAAATAAATAAGTCCTAAAACTTTGACCAATCAGTAAGGGATGAGAAACAGTATCTTCGAAACTCCTGATTACTAATTACATTTTATACCATTAAAATTGGGTTCACGGCGAAACTGCTAGCACATCCTTGTCTTTGGTTTCTTGTTTCAATAAAATGATGTAGATTAAAATCGCCGCGGTCTTACCCCAATGTGGCTAGAGACTAAGAGGACCTAAATTCAATAGTACCTTGTTCTGGCTGAAAATGATGATGAATAGTCAAACACATCTGCTTACTGGATATTACATATCTAGTATTAGTCCAATTAAATAACCTCCATACAAGTCTACGCCGTGTATCAAGCTCTAGTTTCACTAAGTAAGGGACTGAAAGCAAATTTTACTAAGACAGTTTAAATAGACGACTGTGCTGTATCTATTTGATATCTTGACGAATAAAGACTTTGACTATGAAAAAACAATACAATTAAGTAGTTATGATATATTTTGCTACCTAGGTCATTTTTTCATAATAAGTTGATATGATATATTTCGTAGTTTCCACTATTTTGGGGTTTGGAGATCCACAACAACAGAAGAAATACAGGGTGTGTTGTTGCCAACCTTTCAGGAGTTGTTTGGAAATTGAGGAATGATTTATTATTTAGAAATTTTCTGTTTAGTTTCTTATTATTGTTATTTTATCTAGTTTGGTAGAGCCAAACTTCTTCTGATCTACTCGACCAAAGTACCACGGCCTCCCAGAATTCCAGCGTGAAACAACCACAGTTACAGGAGGCCAAATTCTTCCTTTCCCCATTCCTACTAAATCCCTAAATCTACGGAATCCTAATCCTAAAAGGCCGGCTATACACTTGTAACACCTCAAGTGTCACAGGTGTCCATGGACATCTAATTGCTTACCATCAAATAATAAATTTGCTAGTTTGTTGACACATCCAATAAAAAAGAAACTTAACAATACAGGTAATAATACTTGGTATAATTTAAGAATTGAAACCAGGACAACTGCAGTCACACTTATAAAAATTACTTAGTATCCAAGCAGCTATTAAAAGAATCTAATGATAATATAACATCAAAATGTTGTACATAAGTGCTTATAATTTAATATGTCCAAGTTTTACTACACCGTAAGATGACATAGCCGGGCATTCTCAGCATACGTGTGACCATGAATAGCCTCGCTAATTGTTAGTTCGCAAATATGTAGTTATCTATTTCATTAGACAACCCCTACTAAGGAACTTTTAAGAAAAGTCGATATTTTTTTTTTGAATTCTCACTTTATCATTTTAGGCTATGGGTTGAGTGTATGTTTCATATGCTTTTGCTCTGTAATTACTTGGTTAATTTTTGTGAATTTTAGGATACAGATACTAGACGAGAACATAATGTTAGAAGTTTGTGTTTGAGATGAAATGAAAAAATTATATTATTAATATAAAGAATTTTATAACAATTTTAACGGTATTATAATAGCTGACTTGTTATTGAGACGTTCTATTTATATGTCAAAATTAGGTATAATATTTTTTTTATTTTTTTATACGGAATAAGGTCGTCAAACGAGCAGACGGATTACTTGATGGTAAGTAATAAGAGCCGCCTATGGACATCCGAGGAGTAATGAGTGCGTTGCTGAGGGGAAGGATTGGGCCTCCGGTAACCTCACTCACACGGCGAAACACAAAGCTATGGTTGTATCACGTCGGTATTCTGTGAGGCCATGGTATCACTCCGGTCATTCGTGCGGTCCGGACCCATTCGTGCCGAAGCTTGGCTCTCCCACACTTAATTTATGGTCTTGGTTTTTTGCAATTTATGGTCACATGTAGTTGTAGCAGGCTATTTATTTAACAATGAAATAATGAGTTTGTTTTTTGGAACTTAGCCAAAAACAGCACTTTTACTCGTCAATATTACATACAAAAAAATA